TTCTGTTTCAGTCGGAGCCACGCCCAGTTTTAAAACACCAAGACTGTAAAGGCAATGACACACCCCTCACAACAGGACTTCAACAACAAGTTACTGAGAACATGGTAGCTTCATCCATCTTTTCTATACAGTCTATGAATGTGATTAATACAAAGTGCTGAACCCTTAGATTAGCTCCAGCTACATTTTAAAGAATTAAACTTCAATTCTCAGCTACTGCTTAGCAAATTTGTAAGTAGGATAAACGTGTAGATCTACTCACGTGAAAGGCGTGTTGTCCCTGGTCTGTGACTGAGGGAGGAAAAAAAGCACATTCTGAAGACAAAATAATGAATGTTGTAAAATTGAAGTAAAAAAGATAAGCAAAAATAAACACAGAATATCTAAAAGGAAGTGTAAGTCAGTGTGTGAGATCTTTTTATGGACACACAATAAGATATTGTGGAGTATCAATGATAAATCCAGCTTTTTCCTGTAGGATGTCCACTAATATCAGATATGCACCAAAATGCTACAAAGTCAGTTCTGTATCCATATTTAGGGCATTTCAGTTATTTATAAGACCCAGCTAAAAACAATTCATCCTGTTGTAGGTTACAGATAAGATGTGTCAGATATTTGAGTTGAACTCTGCCGTGTTTGACTCCACTAAGGAGCCGCAGTGAAATATTCATGAAACTGCTGACTCACTTTCTCAGATTTTTCTTTGCGTTGGAAGTTTGGTGAGGACAGCTGTTTTTTCAGAGGTCTGTGAGCCTTTTTGGCCTTCTTAGCAGCTGGAAAACAGAAAAACAGGATGAGATGTAGTGAAGGACTGCAGCGCCATCTGCAGGCTGAAAAGAGAAATGCCTTCAGTTTCCATTCTTAAGCTGTGAGGACTGACAATGAAATGTTAAAAATAGATGAGGTGGTGGAGATGAGGGTGGAGATGATGGTGGAACAGCGGCGATGTGCTATGAATAGATTGTGTTTCGTCAAGTGTCCTCATTTTGCTTTAATCACTTAAAGAGGCGACGAGAGGATTACAGGACTGTCGGGTGAAAGGAAATGAGTAAGCATAACATTATGTGATCATTAATCAGAGCACATGGTAACATGAAGCCATCACATGATTAAAACCAGT